ACCCACCCCCCCACTTCCCACCCTTAATCCTAGCTAGGTCCCATTCTCCCTTAGCCACCATGGTCCAAGTCCCTGGCCTTGTATTACCTCACAGTCCCACTGCACCCCCCCCCAAGACTACTTGGCCACTCCTAGATCCCTCCCATAGTCTTTCTGTATATAAGGTCCATCTTGTCTCCATTAAGGTGCTCAGATTCTTAAATCTAATCTAGCCAATAGCTCACTAATGTTCAGACTCCTTAAGATCTGCCCAATATGATGGATGTTCTAATAAACCTTGTCTTTGGCTGAAAAACACAAACAAAAAACCAGACTAGGCCAAATGATAAAAAAGGTCTAAAAAGTCAACAAGGAGAACAATGCCTTAAAAAACATGGCCAAATGGAAAAGGAAGTCCAAAAACTCACTGAAGAAAATAATTCCTTAAAAATCAGAATTGAGCAAATTAAAGCTAATGACTTTATGAGAAATCAAGAAATAATAAAACAAAAACAAAAGAATGAAAAAGGAGAGGGAGGGAGGAATAAAAGAATTTGGAACTAAAAATCTTATAAAAGTGAATGTTAAAAACTATCTTTACATGTAATTGGAAAAAATAAAATACTATTAGGTTAGAATAAAATTTTAAAAATTTAAAATTAAAAAAAAAAAAGAAAAGATGAGCAGGATGGTCTCATAAAAACCTGGAGAGACTTATCAAAGCTAATCGAAAGTGACACATACTATGTATAAAGTAACAGCAATATTGTAAGATTATCAGCTGCGAATGACTTAGCTATTCTCAGCAATACAATGATCTAAGCCAACACTGAAGGACTTATGATGAAAAATGCTATCCATCCCTAGACACAAAGAACTGATGGTGTCTGAATACAGATTGAAACACACTTTTTTTACTTCCTTTATTTTTCTTGAGGGTTTTTTTTTGGTCTATGTTTTCTTTCACAGCATGACTAATACAGAAATATGTTTTGCATGACTCCATGTGTATAACATATATTGAATTACTTGCCTCTCAACGACAGGGGTGGGGAGGGAGGAAGGAAGAGAATTCGGAAGTCAAAGTTTTAAAATGAGTGTTAAAAATTGTTTTTTGGGGGGGCGGAGACAAGATGGCAGTGTGAAAGCAGTGACTTGCTTGAGCTTTCCTCCAAACCCCTCCAAATACTCATAAAAAATGGCTCTAAACAAATTCTGAAGCAGCAGAACTCACAAAAAGACAGAGTGAAACAAATTTCCAGCCCAAGACAACCTGGATGATTGATCAGAAAGGTGTATCACACTGGGCTTGGGAGTGCAGTGCAGCGTGGCGTGGGCCTGCAGGCCATAGCGAACCTGGAGCAGGCCTCAGAGGACTGGATCACGGGCAGCTGTGGCAGTTTCCAGACTCCTCAATCCACCAATGCCAAAGACAACTTAGAAGGTCAGTGGGAAAAGTCTGTTTCTGTCGGTGCTGAGACAGGAAGGTGGGGTTTCAGCTCCATTCCCCAAGAGCGTGGCCCTGGTCAGGGGGGAGCAGCTATTTCCAGAGCTTTCAGCCCACAGACTGAGGGGGAATCCAGTGGCTGATCAGAGAGGGATTGCAGGGATCTCTTTGCCAGTGCTGAGGCAGGAATCTCTTGCTTTGCCTGTGTTTGGATCTGGGCCACAGTTCTGGGCGGCAGTGCTGGGGTGAGGAGGAGCTCTAGCTGGTGGAGCTTGTAGTGGTTGTGGAGAGGACAGTTACAGGACAGAAAGGGATACTTGTGGTCACAGGCCAGGAAAGGAGTAAACACCTCGCCCCTTATCATACCACCTTGGAAGAACTGAAAATTTACAGGTCCCTACAAGTATCTCTGAAAACAGCTGTACAAACCCCTGAAGCTTGGGACATACATTCTCCACATTGGAAGCAGACTCTTACCTTAACAAAGAGTTTAAAACTCAAGTAATTGGCCGGGATCATGAGCAAGCAGCACAAAAAGAGTCAGACCATAGAATCTTACTTTGGTGAAAAAGAAGATCAAAATATACAACCAGAAGAAGACAACAAAGTCAAAGCTCCTACATCCAAAGCCTCCAAGAAAAATATGAATCAGTCCCAGGCCTTGGAAGAGCTCAAAAGGGATTTTGAGAAGCAAGTAAGGGAAGTAGAGGAAAACTGAGAGTGACGCAAGAGAATAATGAAAAACAAGTCAACAGCTTGCTAAAGGAGACCCAAAAAAATACTGAAGAAAATAACACCTTAAAAAATAGCCTAACCCAAATGGCAAAAGAGGTCCAAAAAGCCAATGAGGAGAAGAATGCCCTAAAAAGCAAAATTGGCCAAATGGAAAAGGAAGTCCAAAAGCTTACTGAAGAAAATACTTCCTTAAAAATTAGAATAGAGCAATTGGAAGATAGTGACTTTATGAGAAATCACGACACAGTAGAACAAATCCAAAAGAATGAAAAATTAGAAAACAATGTGAAATATCTCATTGGAAAAACAACTGACCTGGAAAATAGATCCAGGAGAGAGAATTTAAAAATTATTGGACTATCTGAAAGCCATGATCAAAAAAAGAGCCTAGACATCATCTTTCAAGAAATTATCAAGGAAAACTGCCCTGATTTTAGAACCAGAGGGCAAAATAGAAATTGAAAGAATCCACAGATCTCCTCCTGAAAGAGATCCCCAAAGGAAAACTCCTAGGAATATTGTAGCCAAATTCCAGAGTTCCCAGGTCAAGGAGAAAATATTACAAGCTGCCAGAAAAACAATTCAAGTACTGTGGAAACACAATCAGGATAACACAAGATTTAGCAGCTTCTACATTAAAGGACGCAGGGCATGGAATATAATATTGGAGGGCAAAGGAGATAGGATTACAACCAAGAATCACCTACCCAGCAAAACTGAGTATAATCCTTCAGGGGAAAAAAATGGTCATTCAGTGAAATAGAGGACTTTCAAGCATTCTTGATGAAAAGACCAGAGCTGAATAGAAAATTTGACTTTCAAATACAGGACTCAAGTAGAACATGAAGAGGTAAACAGGAAAGAGAAATCATAAGAGACTCATTAAGATTGAACTGTTTACATTCCTGCATGGAAAGATGATATTTATAACTCATGAGACCTTTGTCAGTATTAGGGTAGTTGGAGGAAAAAAATTATATGTATGTATATGTAGATAGATAGATAGAGGCACAGGGTGAGTTGAAGATTAAGGGGTCATATCTGGAGAATAAAATTAAGGGATGAGAGAGGATTATACTCAGAGAAGAAGAAAGGGAGAGGTAGAATGGGGTAAATTATCTCACAAAAAAAACACAAAAGAAAAGTCTCTTACGGTGGAAGGGAGTTGGGGGGAGGTGAGAGGGAATGAGTGAATCTTATTCTCATAGGATTTGGCTTAAGGAGGGAATAGCATACACATTCAATTGGGTATGGAAATCTGTCTTACCCTACAGGAAAATAGGGGAGAAGGGGACAAGAGAGCAGGGGGATGATAGAGAGGAGGGCAGATTGGGAAAGGGGGTAATCAGAAGCAAATACTTCTGAGGAGGGACAGGGTCAAAAGAAAGAACAGAATAAAGGGGAGGGCAGGATAGGATTAAGGGAAATAGTGTTAGTTTTTCACATGTCTACTATGGACATGTTTTGCATAACTGCACATGTACAACCTATATTGAGTTGCTTGCCTTTTCAATGAGGGTGGGTGGGGAGGGAGGAAGAGAAAAAATTTGAAACCTAAAGGTTTTAAAACATGTGTTTAAAAAAATGTTTTCACATGCTACTGGGAAATAAGAAATACAGGAAATGGGGTACATAAGTCTATGCTGCCCTACAGGAAAATAGAAGGGGAAGGAGATAAGAGAAGGGGAGAGAGGTAGAAGAGAGGACAGACTAGGGGAAGGGATATTCAGAATGCATGCCATCTTGGGGTGGGGGGTGAAAATTTGGAATTCAAAAACTTGTGGGAGTGAATGTTGAAAACTAAAAATAAATAAATTTATATTAAAAAAATTGTTTTTGGGGGGCAGCTAGAGGGCGCAATGGATAGAACACCGGCTCTGAAGTCAGGAGGACCTGAGTTCAAATCCGGGCTCAGACCAAACACTTGACACACTTACTAGCTGTGTGACCCTGGGCAGGTCACCTAACCCCAATTGCTAATAAATAAATAAATAAACAAACAAATAAATGAATGAATGAATAAATAAATGAATGAATGAATAAACAAACAAATAAATAAATAAATGAATGAATAATTTTTTAAAAAGTTGTTTTTACATGTAATTGGGGATTAGCAAGCATTTATTTTCAATCTCTCTCTCTTCTGCTACCCCTCAATTTTAAACTCTGCTGGCAATTTTAAAACCCCTTCAAGAGCTCAGTCATCTGTATACCATAACTGCCTAATAAATGTTTGTTGAATTGAACCTTCCTTTACTAGACTGGGAGTCCCTTGATGGCTATGACTGTCTCAGACTTCTCTCCTTCAGTGCTTTGCAGTTAGTAAGTTCTTGGTAAATATTTTTTAAATTAATAAATGAGTCACTTGGGACAAAGGAAAGAGGAGGCTGGGAAGCAGAGGGGTGCCATTTTGAAAACTGTGGCCAGAAGGATAAGATTTATTGTCCTAGAACCTTCAGGGCATGTATAGAAGGAAAGCCCTAACAGATGGATTTGATGACCCCCTTCAGATATTGAGTCTGGAGGGTCCCTGAGCTCTTTTATTTACTTATTTTTTCCATACAGGGAAAACTCAATAGGAGCAAAGTTAGTCGGCAAGGAACAGGAGACAGGGCAGGCCTCACAGCCCAGCCCCAGGCTAAGTCAGGATAGGGGAGGCAGCTGCAGTGTTCCCAGAGCCTGGGCTGAAGGTGGGGGAAAGATGGGGCTGGACCTTTGGCCCTTGGGGAAGGACTCTCTGAGAGAAAGAGCAGCTGCCCCCCCCCTCCCCCGCTTATCACCTCAGGGTCTCTTGGAGATGGGAGGGAGGGTAATGGGGAGGAGGAAGGTACATCTCTGGCCTCTCCTGAGGGCCAAGGCTATTGGCTCAGTGCCCCACTGGGAAGCAGAGGCAGGGATATAAGAGGGAGGCACTGGGCCTGTTGTCTCACACCAGCACCATGGCCTTCCTTCAGCTCCTCTCCTGCCTGGCCTTTGTGGCTGCAGCCTCTGGTGAGTCCATTTCCTGACCCTCATCCCAGGAGGCAGACCCCTCCCCAGCAGACATGTGGGTATTCTCAACCTCACAGGGCTACACAGTGACCTTGACTGAGCTGCTCTGAGGGGAAGATCCCAGAGGTAGAGTCTACCTCTGAAGCTTCCTACCTGTGTGTCCTTGGGCAAATCACTTAACCTCTGTGGGCCTCAGTGTTCTTATCTGTAACACATGAGGAGGAAAGGGAGTTGGCCTCAGTGGCCTCGGGGGTCCCTTCCAGCACTAGATGTCTGGGCTCAGGGCTCGCTAGATGAGATATAAGGGGGCCCTGTTTTCATGCCCCTCCCAATACTTCCTGGAATTTCTCAGATTAAAAATTCATTTTGGAAAGTAACTGTGTTCTCTTTGAAAACGCAAATGCCCCTGAAGGAGTTTAAAGACTCAGGGGCTCACACTTTGGTATGAATTAGACTGAACCTTTGCTTTCCTCCTACCGTAGAGTTGGAATCAGCTGTGTTAGTTGGGGAAATTTGGAGGGCAAAGTTATTTTGGATCTGGGTGAAGGACAGCCCACCTTAGGGGGAAGTAGGGGGCTCCTTTCAAATTTCAGTTCTGGCAGGGAGACTAGGTGGGGAGACAGCTGTGGCCAGAAGCCTGGGGACACTATCCAGGCACTCCCAGACTATGCCAAGGGCAGTCCACTGGTTACTGAGTAGTCCTACGGAGAGTCCAGCTCAGGGGAGGTTGGTGGGAATGAGGGGCTACCTGGGGGTAGGAGTTCTCTCTTCAGCTGCTCCCAAAGGCAGTCTTTCACTTCCAGCCCTCTCTCCTCTTCCTTCTCCTCCTTCCCATTCTCTGCCAGAAGTGGGACAGAGTGCTAAGGGGGAGGAGGGAATAAGCTTCCTCCCTCATATCCCAGATCCAGGGGTTTCCTTAAGAACCCTCAGGGTGACCCCAGCGACGGGCTTTCTTTGCTCCTTGAGGTTTTGAGTCCCGGCTTAGACAGATCCTTAACCCCTCGTCCGACCCCAAGGGCCTTGGCCTGGCTCCCTGGACCAGGTGTCTGCCTTCAGTTCTCCTATCCCTTTTCTCCTATTTCCAGCAGGTGTTCCGGGCTCAACCCAAAACTGGTTATTCTTTGGTAACGAGAGGCTGTTGGGGGTTGGCAGGGAATTTCAAACCCAAGTGTTTCCAGCAGCAGCTAAGACTTCAGTAGGCCCGGGAGCCTGAGGGGATGTGGTTGGAGCCCACCCAATTAGTCCAAGGCTAGGGACCCTCCCTTCATTTTCTCCACGTACCTAGGCTGTGGAGTCCCGGCCATTGAGCCTGCCCTATCTGGTCTGGCCAGGATTGTCAATGGCGAAGACGCAGTTCCTGGTTCTTGGCCTTGGCAAGTGTCTCTACAGGTGGGCACCTAGACCCTGCTTCATGGGGAGTAGGGCCGTTACCCCCTCCTTTTCCTCTCCCCACCCCCAGATCCCTAAATCTGTTCCCCTTCCTACAGGATGGGTGGAGGGTGGAATGGCCACTCAGGAAGAAAAGAGTGATTGAGAGGCTGTCCTGGGGCCCCAAGAAGCCTTCTGTCTAGTTGGCCCGCTTTCCTTCAGCCCCATAAATATCAACCTCTGTGACTCCTAGCAACTTCTGCCCTACTAGGCAAGAAGGAAATGCCAATCCCAGCTGGTGCCCAGCTTGGCAGGAGACCCAGCCAGTTTTGTCTGAGATCCCTTCTTGTCCCAGTCCCCCAAAAGGGTGAAAAAGACCCATTTTCCTGACCCCAGATTAGGGCTCTTCTCGGGGCCATGGTTTTCTAGGCCTCTTCTCTGTCTCCAGAGGAGGTCCCTGAGCTATTGAGGTTTTTAGGATGCACATGATTCCTGTCTGTTCTCTTCCCCACCAGAGAAGTGGTTCCCACTTCTGCGGGGGCTCTCTCATCAGTGAGAACTGGGTGGTCACAGCTGCTCACTGCAGTGTCAGGTAGGTCATGAGAATCCCACTGGAGGTCTCTCCTGCTCTGTTTTGGAGAAGTGGTGGTGAACTGGGTCAGATAAGAGAGTTCTTGAGATATTAGATGAGCATTCATGCAGCACCTACTCGGCCTTTGACACATGGGCCCTTCCTCTGTTTTAGGACAACTGACAAGGTGATTGCTGGAGAATTTAACCTGGGCTCTGATTCAGATGATGTCCAAGTTCTGGAGATAGCCAAGGTACAGCCTGGGCCCAGGGAAGGGGGATGAGAGGAGTGTGAGAGCATGTGCTGGCAAGGTGGTGGCCACAGTCTCCCTGCATAGATTAAGGGTATGGGCAAAGGAGAAGGGAAGTGTGTATTAAGCTTTTACCAGTTTCTAGGCACTGTGTAAATAGAGAGCATCAGCTCTGGGCTGGTAACTAATAAAATCGTGATTATTAATATTTTATTTATAAAATATTATTAATATTTGGCATTTTAAAAGGGCTTTGTGTATAGTCGGCCAACGAGTGTTTATTAAGTATTTACTATGTGCTAAGTAAGCACTGTGCTGAGTGCTGAGGAAACCAAAAAAGTCAAACAAACAAAAAGCCAGGGTCCTTGCTCTCAGGGAGCTTATGCTCCAATGGGGGAAACAATATGCAAATAACTATGTAGGTGATATAGCAGGAAACTGGGAAATAAAAATAATCCCGACTAGCATTTATATAGAAATTTAAGACTTGCAAAGCACTTTACACATATTATAACAACTTTGGGAAGTTGTGTGTTTTATTTATTATCCCTATTTTATGGATGAGGAAACTGAGTCAGAGGTTAAGTGATTTGACCAGGGTTACCCATCTAGTAAATATCTGAGGCAGAATTTGAATTCAGGTCTTCTTAGGCTAGGCCATTATCCACTGTGCCATGTAGCTGAAAGCTTCCTGCAAAAAGTAAGATTGAGCCAAGTCTCAAAGTAGGCTATGTACATTTGCATTTGATTCCTTGTGAAGTAGGGAGTGCAGGTGGTAAGTCTTTCCCATTTACCCGGTTGAGAAAACTCAGGCTCGGTGAGATTCGGTAACCTACCTACCCATGATTACACAGAGGTGAGATGTAATGTTCCCCTTGGAGATTCTCCCTTTCTTCGGATGGGAAGGAAGTTCAGAGGAAAATGAGGACTGTGGTAAGAAATTTGGTCTCGTCCCAGGCTTAGACAGAACGCAGGGTTCCAAGGATCTCAATGTGCCACGGCCAGTTCTAGAGACTGGAAGGAGCTGGAGATGACCCGCCAGCTAGGGGGTGCTTGGGTTTAAGTTGCAGAGACTGGGAAATGACTCTCGAGGAAGACTCACAGAATAAAGGGAGGTTTATTGCAAAGATACTTGGAGTTGGTGCCATGCACAGAAATAGTTATTTGCAAGTTTCCAATAGACAGCCCTATCAGCAGGATGATTTCTGTAACCTTACCAGCCCCCCAGCTCCTCCGGGGCCCCAGCTTTCTGATTACTGGGGTGCATGCACCAGGGGCCCTGTTCAAAAACCTGGGATATGTGATGGCAGTCAGAGCTCCTGCCCCAGTGTGGAATGAACCCGTGCTCTCTAGGGCAGAGTGAGCTTTATATCCCTCCTAGCTAGGTAGTAAGGACAGGCACAACTAAGTTTTCTCACTGAGGGTGAAGGTATACAGTGGAACCTGCCATTATTTTTTGTGTTGTTGTTTCAAGATGAAATCCTCCCTACCTTGGCCCAACATGAGCTTTGAGGAGGATGCAGCAGCTGGGGGAAGCTGACTCTTTTTGGAGGGGAGGGGATGGTAGAAGAGACTTACACAGAAAAGCAAAGCTGAAGACAGCTGTTATGAAGGCAGCCTTTCAGGCTGCTTCTTGGGCCAGGAATTCAGTGAGTGTCTTCTACATTTGGCTTCAAATCCCAGCTCCACTATTTACTGCCTGTTCAAGCCATGGGTCACATCCATGGGCAACTAGGTGGAATAGTGGATAGAGTGCTGGGCATGGTCCTCTTCCTGAGTTCAAATATGGCCTCACATACTTCCTAGCTGTGTGACCCTGTTTGCCTCAGTTTCCCCATCTATAAAGTGAGGTAAAGAAGGAAATGGCAAACCACTCCAGTATCTTTACTAAGAAAATCCCAAACGGTGTCATGGAGAGTTGGATGAAACTGAAACAATTCAACAACAAAGAAGGATAACGCTTCCTGACAAAGTGGAGTAGGCCAGTAGTGAGGTAGTGAGCCCCCATCATTGGAAGTCTTCAAGTAAAGTCTGAATAGTAATTTGTCAGGAATGTCGTAGAAAGTGTTCCTCCAGGTATTTAGTTGTCGCCTTTGAAGTTCCTTCTAGGGGCACCTAGGTGACACAGTGGATAGAGTACTGGCCCTGGATTCAGGAGGACCTGAGTTCAAATCTGACCTTAGACACATAAAACTTACTAGCTGTGTGACCCTGGGCAAGTCCCTTAACCCTATTGCCTGACCAAATTAAAAAAAAAAAAGGAAGAAAAAAAGAATGAAGTTCCTTCTAATTCTGAGCTACTAGGAGGCGCCAATGAAAGTTTGGGGGTGGAGCCAATATACCAGGGTTTCACTCTCCTGTCCCTGGCCTTCCTTTCAGGTCTTCAAGAACCAAAACTATAACTCGTTAACCATTAGCAATGACATCACCCTGTTGAAGCTGGCTACCCCTGCACAGTTCCAGGAAAATGTGTCCCCTGTCTGCCTGCCCAGTGCCGATGAAGATTTCCCTTCTGGCACCACCTGTATTACAACAGGCTGGGGCAAGACCAGGTATACCGGTGAGTGTGAGGCTGGGTGGCTCAGCACTAGATGCTTCGCGCATCTCCAGTAGCTTTTTTTTTGGTGGTTTGTTGGCAGTTAAGACTCCTTGGTTTAATTCGCATATCCCAAACAACAAGATGTGGATTTGATTTTATTTTGTCCGAGAACTAGAAAATGGTCACATTTGTCACTGCTTTGTAACAATGTCATGATTTTTAAACTGACTTTACTTTCACCTTGAATTTTTAACTCTGAGTCAAAACCCTTCCAAAGTTGGAACATAGTTCTGAGGCTTCAGCTTGGCAGAAAAAGCACTTTTTGACGGGTAGCCCCTGGCTGCAGATGTTTAAGGAAGACTTTCTGCAACTGCCTGACTGCCCTGGATTTCATTGGCTCGGTAGTTAAGTTTGCTCAAACAATTTGCAAGAGCTTCTGGCTCCCTTGCAATTCACACGAAACATCAGAACCAAACCTAGCGCTTAGCTCTGAAAAATGGATTCAACTGGAATACAATCTCAACAAAATAAGGAATATAATTGTAAAAACAATAAATGTTAAATTATTTACAGTTTGAGAACACTATATATATCATAAGCTTTAACCAAATAACAGGAATAACCATATTTGCTCCTTGTCTCTTTCCGATCTCTTCTGTGTGTGTGCAATCCAATTTCGTTTTGAATATATGTGTAGGCAATGTATATCTTTTGATTCCTATAGGATTTTTTTTCTTTTTTAAAAAAATAAGTATTATTGGTACTTTTTTGTTTTTACATTAGTTTGGGCTCTGCCCTCCCTCCCATGCCTTAATTATCATGCCTCCCTGTAACAAAGGAACACAATTAAGCAAAAATAATATCTACAATGACCTAATTTAACAACGACAACACAATTTTGTCCCTGTAGTCCCCTGCCTCTCTCTTCTCTGCTAAGAGGAGGAAGGTATGTCAGATAATCTGTCTTTTGGAACTAATATTGGTTTGTATGCATGTGTTTTTAATAATTAGAATTTGATTTCCCATAGACTACTCCTTTTTTTTAAAAGGTTTTTTTATAGGCAATTGGGGTTAAGTGACTTGCCCAGGGTCACACAGCTAGTAAGTGTCAATTGTTTGGTCTGAGGTCAGATTCAAACTCAGGTTCTTCTGACTTCAGGGCCGATGCTCTATCCACTGCACCACCTAGCTGTCCCTAAAAGTATTTTTTAAAGAAAGTTTTGAGCGTAGATATTTAAGCACTGTTTCAGAATGGTGAAGAAGAAAAGCAGGAGAGCTTGGCATAGTCTTTAGTCCTGACTCTCTCAGAATCATTTCTTCCAGACTCCTTCCCCCAGCCCCCACTTCCTCCCATTCAGTTTGCCAGATGTGCCTAATCCACTACCTTGTCTTTTGTCTCTGCAGCCCTCAAAGTCCCAGATAAGCTCCAGCAGGCAGCTCTGCCCCTGCTGTCCAACAGTGAATGCAAGAAATTCTGGGGGTCCAAGATTAAAGACAGCATGATCTGTGCCGGGGCCAGTGGTGTTTCTTCCTGCCAGGTATCTGTCTCTCTCTCCCTCCCCCATTTCTCTCCACTTCGTTTTCCGTCCTCTCGCTCCCTTCAGAATTGCAAATGACGTTGCCCTGAAAGGGATCTTATCATCATCTATATCCTAGATGTGGGAAACTGAAGACCTAGAAAAATCAAAGTGATTTGGCATCCTGATAGTAAGTAGGTAGCAAAGCCAATTTTGATCTGGTGATTCTCTCCCACCCCCTGCATCCCCATCATCAAGCACTTTTACAGAATCAGAGTGAGAAGGGACCTCAGAAGACATTTAGTCCAAGGCATACTTAATTTCTCTATAAACTGCCTGACACAAGTGGTCATCCCTCCTTCCATTGAAACTACCAGCAAAGAGGAACTCCTTGCTCGGTCAGTTTTAGACAGATCTAATCATCTGGGGCAGCTAGGTGGCACAGTGGATAGAGTCCCTAGCCTGGAATCTCCGTTCAAATCCAGCCTCATACACTTCCTAGCTGTGTGACCCTGGGGGAGTCACTTCACCCCATTTGCCTCAATTTTTCCATCTGTAAAATGAGCTGGAGAAGGAAATGGAAAATTACTTCCATATCTCAGCCAAGAAAACCCCAAATGGGGTCATGGAGAATTGGACATGACTGAAAATGACTGAACACCAAAAATTCTCTTTTGCCCAGTCAGTGACAGAGCTGAAAGGCTTAGCCCTCACTTTGATCAAACTTCTAGGAAAGATCCTATCTCAACTTGCTTAATGGGTGAGAGTGAGACACTTCTCACTTCTCCTTCCTCACCCAACCCCATGCATGGTGGTACTTCATTCATGTCTTCTTTTCTTAAACATCCCCTTAGTCTCTCTGTTGCGGGGTAAGAGGTTGAGACGTTGAGACCCCTCAAAGAACAGATTACAGGATGGGTCGTCTGGAATGAATTCACAGCCTCAAACATTCTTTAAGCCAAGGTGGCAAAGTTTATTGTTACGCTTTTCAGTGGGCAAGGATTCTTAAAGACTCCTGTGAGAGACTGAGAATGCAGCTAGGGTTTATATGGAAAAGAGCATGGGAAAGAAATGCCAGGGGCACTGATGAGGTAATCCAAAGGTGCAGGTGTCTTTGGGGGCTATGGATGGGAAAGTACAGGGAGTATACCAGACAGGGAGGGAGATGACAGAGGTATGGATCTTTGGAGTCTGGTAGGAGGAAAAGTCCTTGGGCTGGCCAAGGACAAAACTCCTTGGGCTGGGCAAGGCACCCCTCTCCCTCTGTCTTGATGAGAGAATGCTCTGCAACAAGGGAGAGCTTTCTTACAAGACAGGAACTTACTAAGGAATTGGGAGGCTTCCAGAGACATGATCTGAGGGCTGGGGCCTGAGCAGCCCAGCACTCTCTCACTCAGCTTTGTATAGCTGCACCAGGGACAGATAAGGGTCCTGCTGAGGCCCATGCATGAATAACTGCTAGGCACAGTGTCCTTGGACTGGGGAGAAACTGTCAGGGATAGTGTTTCTGAGGCTAGGGAGAAATTGGGGTACAAGTACAAGCACAAGCGCCCAAGCACCCCATCATCCCCATATTTTCTGCACTAGAAAGAATTAAAAAATTTGCCTTCTATTCTTGGCTATGCTACCAGCTCATTAAGTAATACATCACAAACTTTGCTCAGCCTCAGTTTTCTCATCTGTCAAATGGGGATTAATATCCATATTCTTTCCACCTACCTCTTTGGGTAGTTGCAATGAAAAAATGAAATCATAGGCCTGAAGACATTTTGAAAAGTCAAAAGTACTTTGGAAATGTAAACTGTATTATTTCTCTATTTTCCTCCCCTCGTACATTTGAAAGGTTTTGAACCAAGCCTCTGTAGTGTCATGACAGACTCTAGTCATGGTGTCATGTTGTCAATCCCTGGACTAAGTCACTGAACTTTCAGTTCTTGATAATCTCCATTCATTTCTGTAGCACTTTACAGCTTGCAACAGGCATATAAGGCAGGTAAGAGAAAGTGGGGTTATCTCCATTTGATGGGGTTCTTTTTACTATCCCATGAAATCTCTGGTCACATGACTATGAAGTCTCACCTCTGGGATTCCAATTTGGGTGTTCTGAGTCAAAGCTAATACTCTAAACCGTCCCTGACACTGCTTTTTGGGGGGCTGATAGACCGTCTCAAGCTCTCCTGTCTCTTGTCTCCCTAGGGTGACTCTGGTGGACCCCTGGTCACCCTGAGTAATGGTGCCTGGACCCTGGTTGGTATCGTCTCCTGGGGAAGTAGTGTCTGTTCCACCTCTACCCCTGCTGTATACGCCCGAGTCACTGAGCTCCTGCCTTGGATCCAGGATACCCTGGCCAACAACTGAGTTACTCGCGGGCCAAAGAAAACATGCATCTTTTTGTAACTCTTCCTTTCCCCTGCCTCCAATAAATATATCTGTGCAGGACCATTCTGGGCTCCAGTGCTCTTTGTCTGCAGTAGGGATCTAAATGCCAATAGTTAGGGTGCAGAAAAACCTGTACCCAGAAAGCCAGACACATTCCTAGGAGGCCAGACCACTGGCAGGGGCTTCTGGGAATGTTAGTTCTATTTCTAGTGATGATGTTGCTGAGGGGGTTGAGAAGAGGGAGAGGACCTGTTCCTGCCTACCTTACCTGGCAAAATGTGACCTCTAGGCCTTGGGGTTGGGTCTCAGTAAGTACACCCCTTTCAGGAGAACTGACACCATCTGACTGACTTTCCCTGTGTGCCTGACTTCAGTTTGATTCTGCCTGACACTCATCTCACCAACTTTTTCAGCAGACATACTCCCTACACAAATACATCCTTTTCCTTAATAACTTCTCAGGGCACCATATTCTAGGGAGGACATTGACACAAGCTGGAAGGTATAGAGAAGAGGAAGGGGAGAGACTAGGGACCATGCCATGTGCTGATCCACAGATGAAAACTAGAATGATGTAACTTAAAGAAGATGAGGAGAGTGGGGCGTTAGAGCTGTCTTCCAGTATTTGAAGGCCGTCTGGAAGTCCCTGTTCTGAAACTTTGTAACATGTGAACAGCGGCTTCATGGGATAGTGGAAAGAACTGTTGTCTCTAGAGACAAAGGACTTGAGTTCAAATTCCATCTCTGATTCTTTCTGTCTGTGGGATATGGAAGAGGGAGGAGCTAAGAACAATGAGTAGAGGGTCAAAGCAGCAAAGAGTCAGATTTAAGCTCGGTCTAAGGAAACGCTTTCCCACAACTGGAGCTGTCTGTCCCAAGGTGAAAGGAATGGTCTCAGGAGGTAGTAGATTCCCCTTTAACAGAGTTCTTCAAAGATAATCTGGATGACTTGTATTCAGGGATGTCGTAGAAGGTATTCCTCTACAGGTATAGGTTGTATGAGACATTCCCTTCCAAGGTTGAAATCTTGTGACAAATGTGTAGTATGTTTGTTCTGGCTCCTCCCAGGCTTGCTATATCTGCCCATCAAGGTCCTGGGGTACCTTGAAAGGTTTGGGGGTTTCACTTCTCTGCTGCCATTGGCTTAGACCCCCACTAGCTCTGTCTCCCTCCATGTTTGGGTCCACGACTACAATCCCAGTTCCATTTAAGCCACGTAATATCAATCAGTTTTTACAAGGGAAAATTTACCTAAAAGATATGACAAACCCTTCCCCCACCCCCAACTTAGCTTAATTCCTCCAGAGCATTGGTCCCACCAAGTTCATGTCCAAAAGCTTCATCTTTGCCGGAGGAGTCCTTGTCTCCACTGCCATTGGGCTGGGGTCCCTTGCTCCTCTGTGCATTATTGTTCCACTGTCTCTGGAACATCTACATGGTGAGGTGCCTTTGGAACGCATAAGGTAATTGAGGCTCTAATGAAAAAACTTCACGGGCCCCAGCCTCAAGATCAGGTCTCTGGAAACCACCCAGCAGCTCCAATCACTGGTGCCTGCCCAAGGCATCTGGGCTACCCCAAACTATCCCACCCAGATCACCTAAGGCCTGGAGTTGGGAGATAGAGTACCCAGTTGCAAAAAGGGCAAGATGGCATAGGTTGCTGGATCATAGAATGAGTGAAGGGGGAAAAAAAATCTTTTTTAAAAAAGTGAATGGAGAGGAGTAAAGTGTAAGGAGATTGGAAAGGTAGGAGGGTTCCAGGTTGTGAAACGCTTTTAAAATTTTTTTTTAGTATTTTATTTTTTCACCAGTTACATGTAAAAACAATTTTTAACATTTGTTTTTATTTTTTTCCTCTTTTTTCTGATTTTTTTTATTAATTTATTTTGATTTATCAACAATCACTTCCATAAGCTTTTGAGTTTTAAATTTTTCTCCCCCTTCCTCCCTACCTCCCTCCCCAAGACAGCATGCAATCTAATATAGGCTATACATATACATTCTTATTAAACAGATTTTCACATTAGTGATGTTGTAAGAATTAGAACTAATAGGAGGAACCACCAGAAAGAGGAAACAAAGCACAACAGAAGAAAAAAAATAGCAAAGAGTATGCTTTGATCTGCATTCAAACTCTATAGTTCTTTCTTTGGATGTGGATAGCATTTTCCATCATGAGGCTTTTGGAGAGGTCTTAGATCCTTGTATTGCTGAGAAGGGCTAAGTTTATCAAAGTCAGTCATCACAACAATCACACTGTTACTGTGTACAATGTTCTCCTGGTTCTGCTCACTTCACGCAGCATCAAACCATACGAGTCTTTCCAGCTTTATCTGAAGTCTGCCTGTTCATCATTTCTTACAGCACAATAGCATTCCATTACACTCATATATCACATTCACAATTATGATCACTATCTGTGCCTTTCTCTTCATCCTTCCCCCCTCCCTCCCCCCCGTTTATGCTTTCTCTTTTCTCCTTTTCCCTCCTCACTAATATTTTGCTTTTGACCACCACATCTCTCAGTCCCACCTCCCTTCTATTAGCCCTCTCCCTTTTCTTTCCCCTTTTTTCCTCCTACTGCCTATAGGGCATGTTAGATTTCTATACCTAACTGATTATGTTATTCCCTTCTTAAGCCAAATCTGATGAGAGTAAGGTTCAAACAATGCTCATCTCCCTTCCTTCTTTCTCTCTGCTCTAATAGGTTTTTGTGCCTTTTCCTGTGATGTAATTTACCCTTGTCTGACTCCTCCTTTCCTTTTCTCTCAGTACATTTTCTTAGATCAGATTAATTCACTTACTTGGATCCATTTAACCCACTGATTAGATTTTTTTCATCATTACATCAAAGTCAATTTTTCATCATAATTCCTTCCAGAATTGTCTTGGATCATTGTATTGCTGAGAACAGCTAAGTCATTTCCAGCTGATCATCTTACAATATTGCTGTTACTTTGTACACAGTACATTTCACTGTGCAGCAGGTCATGCAAATACTTTCAGGTTTTTCTGAGAACATCCTGCTCATCATTTCTTATAGTACAATAGTATTCCATCATAATCACAACTTGTTCAGCCATTCCCCAATTGATGGGCATCCCCTCAGTTTCCAAGTCTTTGCTCCCAGAAAAGAGCTGCTATAAATATTTTTGTATGTATAGGTTCTTTTCCTTTTCCCTTTTTTTTTAATCTCTTTTGGTTTACAGACCTAGTAGTGGTATTGCTAGGTCTAAGGGTATGCATGGTTTTATAGTCCTTTGGGCATAGTTCCAAATTGCTTTCCAGAATGGCTGAATCAGTTCACAACTCCACCAACAGTGCATTAATGTCTCATTTTTCCCACATCCCCTCCAACATTTGTCATTTACCTTGTGAAAAGTTTTAAAAGCCAAACAGAAGATTTTATATTTGATCCTTGAGGTAATAGGAAGCCACTGGAGTTGAGGGGTGTGGGTGACATGGTCAGAGCTGGACTTTAGGAGGAACCTTTGGCAGCTGAATGGATTAGAATGGGAAGAGATGAGGCAGAGGGATGGGAAGAAGACCAGTTAGGTTTTTGTATCTCCAATGTCTGCTACACAGGTAGGCGCTTAGCAAGATACTTGTTGATAATAAACTTCTCTTGGTCTCAATCAACTCTTCTGTGCTGTTTTCCTTCGCTTTTTGGGGGGTGGATTGTGTTTGGTGGGGGGGTTTCATCGTGAGTTTCGTGAGGTTCGGCCAATGTGTTGAAACTAAATTTGTGGTTCAGCCTCCTCTTGAAGGCGTCCAGCGATGGGGAGCTTACTCACCAGCCTCACCTAGCCAGAAACAGTGACAAGAGTCTGGAGTAAAGGGCACATTTCAAGTCAATGATTTACCCCGATCTCAGCCCCAGCACGGGGAGCTGGGTAACTCCGGAGTAGAATTTAGCTTAACTGCCTTAACAGCCCGGCCTACCTTAAGAGAGCCGGCCTCCCGCAGCAGCCAATAGGATCGCCGTGCTGCTGAGAGTGGTGAGTGGTTGGTGGTTTTCCTTTGATTCCTCCCAGAGCCAGGGTCCTAGATGACCTGCTTTGATCTCCTCGGTGGCGCGGCAGAGCCGAGATTCTCGGGTCCTCGGCCTCCTTCGTTATGGCGGGACAGCTCCGGGGAGCCGCTCGCATTCTAAGCAGCTGGAGGAGTTATTGCTCGAAGGGGCAGCAGGTAATGACTCACAGCTTGGCAGGGGACCCCGCGACCGTCATGACGGGTGGAGAGGCTGGGCTCCCCTCCTCCCCACAGCGACCTCTCAGGCTCCCCACCGAAGCCCCCCTTAGGCAGCTTCTCTTGACCTTGAGGGGTTACCCAGGGATCCTCTGGAAGTAGGGGTGGGGAGAGAAAGCTGCAAAGGTTTAAAGTACCCCTCCTCCACATTGGCATTGCCAGCCTACCCTGGGGCTCCTTGGTGACACTAGCTTGTCAGCACTGTAGCCCAAAGGAGTGGGCACCTTAGCTAGATTTCCTGGAAGGAACTTGGAGTAAGGGCTGGGAAAATAGAGTTCCTTTGGCTTAAGGTTTCATTGGCCTGTTTAAATGCACTCTGGAGATTTAGGTGTCAGCTGACTGTCCTTAACGTGCCATGGGTATTGGGCAATCACACCTTGCCTCTGAGCCTCGGTTACATGTGACAGGCAAAGGTGCTTTTCAACTTGAACGAACCAGAACTCTTGGGGCTACCATTTTTCTATTCATAAAACAGGGGAATGGACAAATTGATCTCTGAGGTCCATTCTAAGTTTGTCCTTTTAGTCTCTGAATCTTTTACTTCCCTAAATTAGGCAGAGCCTGTCACTTAAGCTGTTGCCATGTAAAGGACATTGGGCCTCATTTTATATAGCAGTTCTGAAAAACTGCACACAGCAGTATCCTGTTCTGTCAGTAGGTTTTATCTTCAATACCTCTCTGCTAACACAGCGGGGGCATGTAAGGATGAGTGTTTAAGTTTTTAAATTGACAAATTTAGTTTTAACATAAGGCAGGGATGGGGAACCTTGGGCCTCGAGGACATGGGTTCCCCACCCCA